TGCCGGTGAAGAACAATATTAAAAAATAGATGATTAGAGATATCATGATATAATATCAGAAAAGATGTACGATTTTAGCAAAGATGTTTAGGGGCCCCATATTATATGTAGATCAGTGGTGTCCATCCATAACGTCGATTGCAAAGCAGTTTTGAGTCGATCGCCAAGAAAATCATTTTGATCAAAAATTAGTGGACACCACTGCTTTAAACTGATTAAACGTCGAAATTGTTGATTTTCGAAAATTAACTCAATCATAACTCAAAAACTAAAAGCGATGGAGAAATACTTTTTATACATAAAACCTTAGTAACGGACCATAAAGACTAGATCTATAAAAAGATTGAACCCAATTATAACCGTTCTTTATTTAGTAGCTTTAAATCGACTAAACATCAACATTGTTGATTTTCGAAAATTTACTCAATCCTAACTCATAAACTAAAAGCGATGGGGAAATATTTTTTATACATAAAACCTTAGTAATGGACCATAAAGACTAGATCCATAAAAAGATTGAACCCAATTATTACCATTTTTTATTTATAAGCTCTAAATCGATTAAACATCAAAATTGTTGATTTTCGAAAATTAACTCAATCATAACTCAAAAACTAAAAGCGATGGAGAAAAACTTTTTATACATAAAACCTTACTAATGGGCGATAAAGACTAGGATCCATAACAAGATTGAACCCAATTATTACCATTTTTTATTTATAAGCTTTAAACCGATTAAACATCAAAATTGTTGATTTTCGAAAATTAACTCAATCATAACTCATAAAATAAAAGCGACGGGGAAATATTTTTTATACATAAAACCTTAGTAGTGGACGCGTCTGTGAAGTTAGCACCTCATTTTTTTAAAACTTCAAATTTCTCTTGAGTTCCCATTGCACCCCATTGAGTTCTATAGTTCTCTACCATTTTTATTAAAAGTTCCGCAAAAATAGGCAAAAACATCGATATCGACTTTTTGGGGTGCTAAGTTCACAAAACGAGATCACAAAATTTGCAATAACTATTAAACGAATGCACGTATCTAAAAACTTTATTAAAATATCTTTTAGAACTCGTGAGGTGCTATTCAGAACTCCTGCCAGAACTCCCGGAACTTTTCCAAATTTTCACCCCTCCGGGACATTTACGAAATCTCAATGTGAACACTTAAAATCGCGCACAGTTTCTTAAATATTAGTTTTACGGCTTCGAGCCTTAATCATTTTCGTTAGAACTCGTGAGGTGCTACCTAGAACTCCTATCAGAACTCCCGGAACTTTTCAAAATTTTCACTCCTCCGGGACATTCATGAAATCTCAATGTGAACACTTGAAATCGCGCACAGTTTCTTAAATATTAGTTTTACGGCTTTGAGCCTTAATCATTTTCGTTAGAACTCGTGAGGGGTGAAAATTGTGAAAAGTTCCGGGAGTTCTGGCAGGAGTTCTGAATAGCACCTCACGAGTTCTAAAAGATATTTTAATAAAGTTTTTAGATACGTGCATTCGTTTAATAGTTATTGCAAATTTTGTGATCTCGTTTTGTGAACTTAGCACCCCAAAAAGTCGACATCGATGTTTTTGCCTATTTTTGCGGAACTTTTAATAAAAATGGTAGAGAACTATAGAACTCAATGGGGTGCAATGGGAACTCAAGAGAAATTTGAAGTTTTAAAAAAATGAGGTGCTAACTTCACAGACGTGTAGTGGACCATAAAAACTAGATCCATAAAAAGATTGAACCCAATTATTATCATTTTTTATTTATAGCTCTAAATCGATTAAATATCAAAATTGTTGATTTTCGAAAATTAACTCAATTATAACTAAGAAATGATGGTGGATCATCAACTTCATGGAGTACGATAGGCGTTCAGACGAAAATACTAGTGCAGTCAATATCTTACTTTCAGCTATACTGAATGGATCTCCAAAAGGAAATATGTTAGTGGAGCCCTATAATAAATTTTCTTGCTTTTCGAGTCAAATTAACGCTATCTGGTAGCTATCAGCTTGAAAAAGAAATTTTGGAAAGATTCCCTTCAGAAAAGCTTGTAAGTCCTAATTCTTTCTTTAAATTGAAACTTCTTTCAAAATCAACATAATTTATTTACTGACATATAATCATTATAATAATATAATGTTTAATTGACAATCTTAAATGCAGGAGTATTACTGCACGGAAAGAAGAGGTAGGATTTATACTAAGTACTACAACTCAGTGACGACCTTTAAGAGGGGGTTTCCAAATATGTAACTTCAATTACAACAAAAAAAAGGTGAAAAGGTGGCATGAATTCTAATTCAAATTTTTTTAAATTTAAGTGTATTTTGTTTTAGATTGACAAGGATTTCAAATCAGCGTTTAATAGCAAAGATGGGTTGCTAGAAGAATGGGACAGAGTTTGGCAACAAATCTATACTTTTTTAAGCTTAGAAAACCATGTCAAAGACAAGTCAGTGAAAATTCTGATTGGGAGGCTTGTTGACATCACAATCTCTGAAAGTATTGTTACAAAGACCATTTACTTTATTGTAAAATTAAAAGTTTGCCATTTTGTTTGTAACTAAATTGTCAAGTTTTTTTTAATTATTTATGGTTTCACAGATGGACGCAATGCTGCTTTAATTTGGGCGCTACATGGCTATTTGGTGCCCACAGCCAAATGTGTCAAGAAAGATGTGACTGGAAAAAACACTAGATACACCATATTCGAAAACCCAAAAAATCACTGCAACCATCGATATATGGTATCAGTAAAAGTATTTTTGAAATCGAAGAAATATTTATTCAATTTGATGATATTCGTTATAAATGTACAAACATTATCAGGGCTCTAGACATGTTTCAAAATAATGTATTTGTTTGATTTAGAGTTCCCTCCGGAGCGCGAAATGTTCTTTACTTTTTTAGAATTTTATTTTTTTAGGCTCAATACGCCATACAAGTACCCTAAGGTACAAATTTTTTACAATTATTTGATGAGTGTAATGGAATAAAAGAGACTGTAGCTTTTATGTAACTGTAACTTTTATGTAGATTTATTTATTTCCAAATTTTGTAATCATTTGAGCAATAAAATAATAGTATACATAAAGAAATTATTCTGCTGATTTCACATAAAATTATACCTTGTCAAAAACTATCACGGTCGAGTAGCGTTTTTTTTGTGACTCGTATAGATGTAGTCTTGAAACTTTGGTCTTTTCTCATAGTAGTCATTCAAGTAGTTATAATGATAACAATGAGAAACGGATAAATTTTGGAACTACATGTTATTCCCTAATATACATCAGAAAACGCAGTATTATTAATGAAGACCACTTCATTGGTACAATGAAACAATTTCACTACGTTACTGAATTCATTCATTGAATAAAGAAAAATAATTCATTAAGACAAAGATTAGTTTCATTCTATTAATAAAAATGTCAATGAATTATGTTCATTAAACAATGAAAAATTTTCATTAAATAATAAATATGGTTCATTAAACAATTAAAATTGTTCATTAAATAATGAAAATTGTTCATTAAACAATGAAAACTGTTCATTAAATAACGAATATTGTTCATTAGGCAAATGAATACATTTCATTGAGACAAAGACTTGTTTTCATTCGACAAATGAAAAGTTTTATTAGATCATGAATAAGTTCTATATAATTTCATGAAAAATGTTCATCGTTACAGCGAAATCGATTTCATATAATTAATGTAACATTCTTCATTGAGAAAATCCATAACTCAATTCAATGTCTCAATGTAGCTTTTCATTGTATTAATGTACATTTTTGGTTAGGTGAAGGATAACTAAGTAAGAAATAAAAATTAAAGAAATCAGATCTCTAGAACAGGGGTGGGCAAACGATCGATCGCGAACAGTTCGACAGTCGATCACAGACATTTTAAATAATTTACTACGTTAATTCCAAATCTTCTAATTGAAAATTTGTACTAAAAATGTTGCAGAAAATTATGACAATGATCGATAACAGGGTNACTAAGACCCATTATTGTTAATGAAAATATTATTATTTTGGCCTCCTGAACGTACATTTACAATTTGGCCCATTACTTATGAATCACCCTGTATATTGTTATTATTATTAACATTAATTTTTCTATTGTTCTTCTTATGTATTATTAGTGGATACTTCACTGGGCCTGTCCTGTTTGTATCTCAAAGATTACAAATAAATAAATAAATTCAAATTTGAAATTTTTTTGTCAAATAGTTTTGGAGAAAAAAAATCGCTAAGTAGACAAAGTTGCTGGCACTCTCAAAAATTGGATACTTTTTTCATTTAACTCGCGATAGAAAGAAAACCGTGAATCCGAAAATTTTCAAATTAACATATATTACGTAGAAATATTCACTGATTTCAATAAACTTTACCGCAACTTTTTCCATCGAGCGGTTACGAAGATATCGATCTCTAAAGTGAAGGGCCATGACTTTTTGCACTGATAGTAGTATATAAAGCAGTAAATAGATCAATATTGACATATGGAAGCGAGTCATGGATACTGACAGAGAAGGACAAAAAAGCAAGATTTAAGAATAAAAAATATAACAAGGCGAGACAGAGTTAGAAATCAAGAGGTCAGAAAAGAAGTGGGGGTGGAGAACATTTTGGAGAATATAGATAGTAAAGAACTGAGTTGGTGGGGACATCTAGTCAGACTAAAAGAAAAAGGGCAAGTGAAACAGGTTTGGAAGGTATACAGATGAAGAGGATGACTGAAGGAGACCTGGGAGAATGTTATGGGGAAGATTCTTAAATTTATCCCTTTATTTTGTAAAGATATTTAAATTAATTTCTTTAAAGTTGGTTAAAATTCCCCTTCTTAAATTTATTGGTGTTATTTAGATTTACATATCTCATAGATAACCAGTCACAAGTTACACAAATTAAAACAACATTTATACTTACAAAATTTGAACCTACCTGACGTAATGGCTGGTGAAGAAGCAGCTTGTCGAGCACTAGCTGATGAAGGATTCCTACAAACAGCACCTAATCCTAACTTTTTAACTGGCACTGCTGGTTTTGCCATAACAGCTTTATCCACTTCGTCAGTAAAAACTAAAAATAGTTTTAATTAAAATTTAAGGTTACGCGATATTCAATAAAACGTACAATCAATATTTGTAGCGGCTGTCGGTAATAATTCCCCGGCGCTTTTTACTTCTTCGAATCGTGCCAGGAGGACAGGAAGTTTAGCCGTAGGTATCAAATTTCTTCTTTGGATGTCTATTCGCAATTTATCACCAACGTGTTTATACAGATCTACCATAGTAGAAAAAGCGGTGTCACGTACTGTCACTGTTGAATCCGAAAGTAATTTTACAATATGTGGAATTAATTTATTTAATGAGACTGTTTGAGCTCCATGTCTACGCAAAATAATTAATTGTAATTCGATTTGATTTTGAAAAAAAATATTATTCTTACTCATTGAGTGTGTTAACTAAACATCGAAGCACCTCCTCTCTAATTTTTGCGTTCTTATGCGAAAAACTCGGGGTCAATTTGTCCAATAAACTTTGCGGGGTCAACACTTCGCGTTCCAAAATTTTCAATATCAAAAGTTGCGCTTTCTCTCGTACGGTGTCTTTGGCGTCGCCGAGTCGGTCCACGACGGCTGGCAACACTGTTTGTAAGTATGGCCGGAAATCATGTCCTAATCTATCCACGAGGTATGTCATCACCTCGATGCCATTGCTGGAAACCTGCAAAAAAACAATAAAAGAAATTATCGTATCTTTTATTGAAATCAAAGAAACATGTTTATTAAATTACAGACGTTAGTCACTAGAAAGTATGAATATAACTGTCGGAATGTTTTGTATGTAGAATGTTCAAGTAGAATTAAAAAAATACAAGTTTCCATTTCGGGTATCACTTATAACGCCTACCAGTTCGGGTTTTTATTTTTGTAACTCTTTTACGTATGGCAAACATAAAAAAGTGGATTAAAATTTTTAAAAAATTATTAATTTATTATTTATTGTTACAAAATAAAACTCCAGTGGGTTAAAAACCGGTTGTAAATTAATAAACACTCTAAAACCGTAATCACGCGACGAAAATTATAGGAAATTAAATCATGTAAATGAAAGACTGTACATAACCACCAACATTTGCCTCTCATTTACACATGTAATAAGGTATAACTAACGGCATTTGGTTAACGGGCAAATCTAACAGATTTTGTTAGAATCATTTTAACTTTTCTCAAAAGCATCATTTAACGATTAAAATTGAAAACAATCGCTTTTTGTATGCTAATTAACAACTAATTGGTTGCATGCAACGATAAACCTTCGTTGAAATAAAGTGTATATTATTTGTTTCAATTGGACATTTTACGTAAGAGAGTCGGTCAAATACAGATTACCAAGGCTAAATAACCATCACGTACACAACGCCTACTAATGTTTACTAATTTAAGGGTGTTCATAACTGTTAGTTGGAAAAACATTTCAAAATAAATAATACATACCAAATTTTGAGTTAAAATAAAACATTTTTTGATTGATTATTTATTTCAATAAAAAAAATTTTAATTTAGTGTTAATTTGGCCGACCTTTTGGCGACACTTCGCTACACTAACTACCAGGAGCATTTTCCAAAAATACCGTGTAGCGCAAAACAGAGAGGGGTAACTATGAAAATAGATTGAATAGAAGAAAGTATTTGAAAGTACGCGCGCTTTAAATGTAAGCTGGAAATAGAGCCGTTAAGCTCAAGTTTTACAAGTTCTAATTTTGTCTTCAATTACTTCACCAAAACAATAAAACAATTTCAAAAGTTAATAAAATTCAACTACATTAAATAACAAATCTCTCATAGCCATCTTTATCTACATCATTATTATTATTTCCTTTTAACAACGACCAATTGAATGTAATTTAAAACACAAATAGGATTTTATAAATTACTCTCAAGGTAAAAGACATTTTTATCATACAGAGTCATACAAGTTACGAATTAACGTATCTTTTTTTTTCCCCTCCTATTTGTCATCTCCTAGCGAGATGACAAAACCAATTAAGCTCATATTTCATATTTAGAATAGCAAGCTACATTTGGTATGAAAGTAAAATTGAATGTTGCGCGATCCATCCTGCTTCCTGATAGCATATCGAAAGTGACATGTTACTTTGGTGTGAAAGCCTCTTTAATCAACAAGTTTTACCTTTGTTGTTTGAATTTTTTAAATAAGTTTTTTTTTAGTCCTGGGTTGGTGACAATTTTGGAAAGCTCCAAGAGTTTGGAATAGCACCTTCTAGAGAGATTTCATGTTTCTAAAAAACTCTAAACTGATACAAAAAAAAGAGAAAATTCCAAATGAGTGTACTGCAAAATAATTCTTATGATACGTGTGAAAGGAACTAAACGGTGACAGTCCAAGCCTTTAACAAGTCCGACAAGTTCAAAGAATGTGCTTTTACTGACTACCACCGTATTTGTATGTGGGATAGAAGAGGAAATAATGGCCCATTGTCCCGTAAAGGAATTTTACGATTTGTAAAAAAAACCAACACGGTGAAATCATACCTATTTATTCACATAGAAAACCTTATTTGGTTAAATAGGGTAACATTACTTGGGATTTTTTTGCCTTGAAGGTTACGATCACAAAGAATAAAAAAAATCCGTTAGTCTCATCCAATGTATGAATATTTCACACGATCTTATCTTTTCTCAACCTTTTATATTCTCTTCCTTTATTTAGAATGAAATTAAACTCATCTAATTCACCCCTCAACCAAGAAAAACATTTATAATCACGCGATTCACACGACAACATTTAGTTTCCCCAATTTAACCCTCCCGTGGGTTTACCTTTTATTAAATCGATGAAAATGTACACCGACTACATTACACGCCATCCATATGCACGTTTTCGATGGCGCTGTGGAAGTTTACAAACCCCCGTTGAAGAAGTTATTTTAAAATCTCGGCATATAGAGTACATTGAACTTTGCAAACTACGAACCTAAATGCTAATATTACCTTAAATCAACCAACTCTATGGGTACATTGAAAACACTCTTACTATATTAAATTATCAATGATTTAAAGAGGTTTTAAGACGTTAAGACCATCGAAACGAATGATGGTGTTTCAAAAATATTTTCACGCTACCGTGAATATAATTGAGTTGATACGCCTTAAAGTGACGTTTAATAGCATAGAAAATAGACGGTGATGCAACAACTGCGGTTTAATCGCCATATGTTGCGCAGATTTTTTTATTTGATATCAAAGTTAATAATGTGGAGAAACTTTAATGCACATGGAGTGTTAATGGGTTAAAGAAAAAGGTTAATAGGATTCATTAAAATACAAGTAGATATCTTGAAATTTTTTTGAAGAAAAAAAATCCATTACAAAGTGGCTAAAACCTACTTACTCTGTTTATAAAGGAGACCTTGACACCTGAATTCGAACACCTAAGGTGAGACGTTGAGAAAAAAACGTAAACAATCCCCGGCTAAATTTAACCACAATGATGTAAACCGAATAAAAATAGAATTGACCCAATTAGGTTAAATTCGATAAGCCGTCAAATAAAAAGAAATAGAAGTTGAACCATTAAATGAAGTTGTTTATTGTTAATTCTTTTTATACTAAGAATAAGTCGCTTTAATATTGGAGTCTTATCGTTATTTTGTTTGAGCAATTATTAATGCCTTTAAAAGCAATATAGAGTAATCGCATTTAATTATTTACTTAAAAAATATTTACATACTGAGGTTAGGATACAAACTACTTATATCCCATTATTAAATAGTGACATAAATTCCGTTCATTATAATTATTTTGCATTGCATAAGGGTGTGTCCTAACATTGCACGGCAACAGCAAGACACAAATTATGCTATAAGACCCATCATGCCAATAAAAGCTCTAACAGCTACTGTTTAAAAGACAGACAACGAAGCGAACACATCAAAGCATGAGGACATTGTTAAATGGACAAGAAAGTGAAGAAAAAGTTAGAGAGAATGTTGCCAGAATGGACACAAAAATAAAAACCACGATCGCTGTAAGGAAAGTTGGGCATCAACATTGCAAGATGGATCTTAATGATGCACAAGACCTCCGCAACATTGCAACATAGACAATAGATTGTCGCAATGTTGAGGAGATATCATAAAAACATTACTTAGGTATGTTGATAATAAATAAAAATTAATCTATATATAACAAAAAATCTTGATAAACAATTAGATAATAAAAGATAACTTTAAATACTAACTGTTTGTTGCCGTAAAGGTCAACTCATATTTACATAATTTTACTCACGTGTTAATATTTTGTTAAATAATTTATACAAATATTTACTTTTAACACTTGTACTTACCTTATAATTACTGCTTTGCATCCATGGTATAAGACCATCAATAAATTGGCCAATATCCTGACACAAAATTGAATTAGAAGGTTCCGCAAGGTAAGAAAGAAGATCCTGTCCGACTTGTTGTCGAAATTTTGTGTCGGCTTTCGATAGAAGCGGTAAAAACCCATCCAAATCCTTAGGACACACGTATGCCATGATGGCGAATAAATCGAAAAAGTAATACCGGAAATTTTGAAGTTAAACTACTTATATTTTTCGATTATTTATCGCCCACACGCCCCAAAATTACTCGCAAACAACGTATATTTCGTACATTTATTATCCCGTTTTTTTCATCAACACTTCGACGACATTTGACAAATAAGGTTACCCTCCGTTCGCCTGTTCCGCAATACGGGAACTAACATAAAAATTTAACTGATTTCCCGTTATTTTTCTTCAAGAACCGCACGCCAACAACCCTCGTTTTGATGCAAAATTCACCCTACACTAAATTTGCTGAATTAATCACAACACACGGTTTTTTATTTTATACCACACATCCGCATATAATACATAATGCGAGGAAAAGGTTTATTCGGCGTGTATTAAAATAGTATAATTTAATATGTAAATGGGAATTTAAGGAGTTTTTTTAACCGAAACACCTAACGTATAGCCATTTTGACAATATACTACAAATAGTTCTACCGGAACTGTCAAACCTACCGGCAAATCAGGGAGTCTACATCAGCGACATCTACAATTTTTTTTAAATCGTTTTCAAGTAGTACACAATTAATTATTAATGAAACATATAAAAGTTTATTAATTTATATTTATCTTGTAACATAACTTACCTATTATTGAATTAATTTATTTTATTTTTTTAATAAAACAAAGATAATTCGCACAATTGATTTGCAGATTTCTGTATTTTTAATCGTGATATGTCAAAAGTGACATGACGTTTTAAATATGTCGTAAATATAACCTGATGAAATCTTTTGACGTTAATAATAATTAAACTTTATAATGTAAAAAATAGAAATCTTGAGATTAAGAAATGAAGAAATTGACCGGTTCGTTCCGTTATGCCCAATGGGACCCTTGGTTATTAATATCACAAATTGTGTGCATGCAATGTGTATTGTACACTAGTTTGGGGTTGTTACTAACTATTTTGGGTGGTTTAACAAGTGATACAAGAACGTTGGATCATATTTTTGAGTACCATGTAAGTTAATTAAGTGAAAATGAATTAATTTAATTTGATTAATTTATTTAGGAGATTCAAATCAGAGATTTAGGAGGTAAACTAGTGATATTTGCTTTTGTAATAAATGCCTTGGTGGGGTAAGTTAATATTTCATTTAAATTGATTATTTTTAATAACTGTTTTAATTTTTTAGAGCTGTTGCATTGTGGTTTATAGTTGAAAGAACTAAGCAGTGCTTAGATTTTAGTTGTACTTGGCATTTGTTTCACTTGATCGTTTGTTGGTGTTATAATGGGAGTTTTCCCACAACCTTTTCATGGTGGTTATTAAACATAGCGTGCGTAAGTCTTATGTGTGTATGTGGGGAATTTTTGTGCCTCCGCTCGGAGTTACAGGCAATTCCTTTGAGTTTAGGTCCAAAAACTGATTTATAATCATATTAATGTAATTTTTATACTGTAAATTAAATGTAATTTGTTACTTTATTATAATATTTATTACTCAATGCTAAAAATATTGTATAAAAACATAACTTTATGATAAAAAAAATAAGAAAAGAAATAAAAATTACAATTTAATTACTTAAGAAATGTTTATTTGTTATTTAGGTACTTTTTTTCTAGAGGAGTACATTTCTATGAGTTATTTTGTGATGTAAATTGTTTTTTATATGGTGTGAGCATAAAGTAAGGATTTTTTTTTATTAAAAACTTATTAATTTAAGAATTAATCACTAAAATTGCTAGTAATTAATAAATTTAAACAAAATATCTCTAATATGTACACACCATATAACCTAAATTTATACATAATCTAAAAAAGGGGTAACTTAACTTCTTATGACCTATTATCTATTTTAAAAACCCTGCTAATTAGAGGTAATCATTTAATTACAATTTATTGGTTAGCTTGAATTATGTATTAAAAAGCGAAAAAACGTTAAAACTAAATATAAAATGGATGTATTCACAACCATAAAAATGACTAAAATGGGTTATTGGAGATGGAACGTATAAAACGGCAGTCAAATCAAAAACATATAAATAATGTAAACCAGACTTTTCAAATTTTTGTTTAAATAAATTATTTAAAACCTAAAAATATTAGATTTTTGAATTAAATTTAATTACCTATACAGGGTGTATCTGAAAGACTGCAACAAACTTCAAGGATGATTCTTTAATGAATTTTAAGGGTACTTTGATATATAAGTACCCTTAAGTAGCTACCCTAAGGAGCTACACCCCTCCAAAAATGGCGGAAAATTTCGGTTTAATTTTTTTTTTCTCAAAAACCATAAACGCTGGGAAAATGAAATTTGGGGAATATGTTTAAACTACTAAACGTAACAACCCCATTAATTTTTTTCATTTAATTTATGCCTAAATTTTTTTTATGAAAATGATATACAGTGTGTCCCAGGATAGATGTTACAAGAGGTATAATGACTTAAAAAATGTTGAATTTTATTTTAAGGCTGAGGAATTAAGCCCTGCTTGGTGTGGAGAGAATTTTAAGTATATTTTTATATTTTGAACTCGGCCGGGTGCGATAATATTTCGATGATTCTTATTAAGAAGGTTATTCATTTGATTGCATCTCCATTATCCAATTTATTTAATAGATGTTTTGTGTTAGGTTATTTTCCAGAAGCTTTTAAAAAGGCTGTGGTCGTGTGACAATCATTTGAGATGGAATGCTCATATTGCAAGGATGGTTGACAAGATTCGGCGTAGTACTTACATGTTCAAAAGATTACGTCATGTATGCGATTTCAAAACTATTAAGATATTTTATTTTGGAATTATACAATCAATCCTGCAATATGGCATATTGGCATGGGGCTCTGCAGCTGATTCTTACCTTCAGAAATTAATTACGTCTCAAAAAGGTGTTATAAAAATAATGATGCATAGGCCCCGTACTTTCCCATCTGCGTTGTTGTTTGCTGAGTGTGACTTATTTACTATTAAACAGTTATACACCTTAGCAATTATGAATAACATTCTAAAATCACCGGACCGATTGGCGACTGTCTCACATGGTTACTCTACTCGGATTGCATCCCAGAATCGTGCTGTTATACCGCCCGTAAATAAGACTGTAGGTCAAAGACATTACTCTTACCATTCCATTAAAATATATAATAAGTTTAGGGAATACCTAACAGCACAGAACCTTACGTTGGTGAAATCTAGGTGGAAATACTTTTCAAAAAGATGGGTGAAATCACTTAATGATGGCGTGATAGATGGAATTTTTTCAATTATGGTTTAGTTCTTTCAATGTTGAATTGAGTGTTGTATAATTTGTTATCTTTGTTCACAGTAAGAATAATGAATTTGAATTTTTATTATTTTTTTTTCTCGAAAGCCGCGTGCAAACTGATTTTTTTCAGTTTTTGCGGTTACCCCCATGCGCCAGCTGCTTGGTACTGATCATAATAGAAATTAGTTATATGGCGTGTTACGGGAGTTTTTGTTTTTGTTTACCTTATATACATAGTGTTTACTATTAATTTCTCTATAATTTCTTTCTGTAAACTGGATACAAAGACAAATAAATAAATAAAAATATTTTGAAAATCAACTCGGTCTTGATGGTGAAGCGAAAACTATTTTTAGTTCAGGTAAAGTAAGCTTTTTGTTCCTGATACGGCAAAATATCATTAAGAAAAGTTGTTCAGAATGAGAAATTGTGGCACTATGCAAAATTTCAGAAAGATCTACCTATATTGATTAAACCACTATATTTTAGATAAGAATTTCTTTTTGCTGATAGAAAGACAGGCAATTTCCAACACGATGGATGCTCTGCACATTCTACAGTACGTGTAGCTGAATGGTTAAATTTAATATTTCGAGAAAAGATTATATCTAGAAATGTGTGTCCAACTGAAGGTCTCCCGACCTTCGAGACCACTTTAAACAACTAGTTTTAAACAACTAGTTTTCGCTCAACCAATACCGAACAATCGAAAAATATTAAAAGAACGCATAACAAATGCTATACGACAAATACGCATCGAATAAATTCAGAACAGCTTTAGAGAATTTAGGCATCGTATAGAAAAGTGAGCAACAAAAGGTGGATGTTATGTTGAATAAACGACAGTTAAGTTTACGTTCGATTTTCTATAAATAAAATAAAATTATACAATATTTATGTTATTTAAAGTAAAATGTTATGGTTCAACCAAAGTAGATAGATCTTTCTGAAATTTTGCATATCAACATAATTTCACATTTTGAACAACTTTTCTTAATAAAATTTTTCAGTATCATGAACAAAAAGGTTACTTTACCTGAACTAAAAATAGTTTTCTCTTCACCATCAACACCGAGTTGATTTTCAAAATATAAAAATATACTTAAAATTCTCTCCACACCAAGCAGGGCTTAATTCCTCAGCCTTAAGATAAAATTCAAAAATTTTTAAGTCATTATATCTCTTGTAACATCTATCCTGAGATATTGTATACATTGGAAAAATTTCAGTTAGATAGATGAAACTATTCTAAAACTTTTTTGTCTCTCTGATGTTCTTCTAAAACTTAATAATTTCTGAGAAAAAAAATAATTAAGCAAACACTAACTGTTAAGCTGTACGGTTGTTAATCGAAAGTTGGAATGAATTTTTAATGAAAAAATGTTAGTAGGCTTTGTAATCTTTGTTATAAATATTTTTGACGTTTAAATGTCAGTGGTTTTCTTACTATTATTATTGTTTTATTTAAAATTTTGAAACGTCGAGTGAACGAGCGTAAATGCGATAGAACTTTATTTAAAAATTAATTTGAAAAACAATAATAATAGTAAGAAAAACACTGACATTTAAACGTCAAAAATATTTCTGTCAAAGATTGCAAAGCCTACTAAGATTTTTTCATTAAAAATTCCCCGTTGTTTAACGGGCAGTGTTTGCTTTATTATTTTTTTTCTCAAAAATTACTCGTTTTTGGAAAAATTTTAGAGAGACAAAAAAGTTTTAGGATACTTTCATCTACCTATGTAAAATTTTTGTAATGTATTTTATCATCTGCATAAAAAAATTTTAGCAAAAATGTAAAGAGGTTATTAAACGTAACCAGTTTAGTAGTTTAGAAGGTTAGGTTGAAAGTACAAATAGGGTCAAAACGTGCCCTATTATGAGTTAAACATATTCCCCAAATTTTGTTTTCCTAGCGTTTATGGGTTTTGAGAAAAAAAATTATATCAAAGTACCCTTAAAATTCATTAAAGAATCACCCCTTGAAGTTTGTTGCAATCATTCAGATACACCCTGTATATTAGAAACTGCCAAACAATGTTGGAATATAGTTATATAATAATCAAAAAAATCATTTAAATGTAAAAAGCTACGCATTTTCGTAATACATATTATATAATTATCAACGAGAAATATCTAAAGACGTTAAGGCGAACTGTAATTGGCTTTTGTCTTTTTTGTCAGCTTTTCTAACGGTATTAAAAAAAAACTTTTCAGAGCATTCACACACCTTTAAAGTTCCTATTGTTAAAATATTGTACTTTAACAAAATTTTGCGCTACATTGTGCACTTTTTACTTATCATATTCATAACCTAATTTTGTAATCAATTTTGAGGTGAACATTCGTCTACTTCTTGTATAACAGCGTCTTGTTCTAGCCTTTGCTTGAGAAGTTCTAATTCTTGAAGTTTCTAAACAAAAAATAAAAACGGTTAGATAATAAAATGTTAAGAATAATTAGTTATTACTTCATCGTTGTTAATAATTATAATTCGTTGCTCAAGTTTTGGAGTTAACTGACAAGATTCTTGTTCTAAATCATCTAAAGAAGCCCTTCTGGTTAATCGGGTTGTTTGTTGCGGATTAACTTCAACAGTACTAGATCTACGTAAAGGTGGAGGCCCATCTAATTCAGTTCCATCCAACATTTTCACTAAACTATGTCTTCGTGACAATGTAACCAACGATTGTCGATGTTTCGAAAGCTTTTTTGTTTTGCCCTGTCTGATATTAATGGCTTGAAAATGATTTTGAATCGCTAACCCCAATTCTGGACAAACATCTTCGTCTAAATCAACAGCTGCATTTCTTAGCATAACATATCCATCACATCCTGATTTTAAATAACTTTTCGTTGCAAGCCTATACATTTGATCCTCGTTGATGTATTCATCCCCGATTCGGATGAAGCGTTTATCAACTCGGGATCCGGGTGGTTTTCTTGGATCAAAAGCGAAACTAAGCCCGGCTACTTGGGGAAATCGACCTTCTAATTTTGGGTACATTTTAACTCCATTTTCTAAGACATCAATAAGTGTTTTTCCTGATATTAATAAAACTGTTAAAGGATCTCTCATTGGGATTACATTAACGAGATCGCGCATTGTGAATTCTCCTGCTGGGTGGACTTGATCTGAACGAAACGTTCCTGAGTTTAGAACCACTAAATCAGCACCGGTTGCTGCTAATACAACATCACAAACCTAAATTAAGAAAGAAATTATTTTTTATCAATATTTAGAGAAAATTTTTTACCCAATTTCCTAAATTAGACTCGCCCGTTCGAATGGCTGAAAATCTTCCATCTAAAGGTACCGTAAAACAACCAAGAATCTCATCCATTTTTCCTTCAACCATACTAGTATATTTCTCTAATTTTTCGTTTAATTTGGGATCTTCCTCATATTGTGATGTAACATTAATTTCTTCCACAGTAACAAGTGGTTTTCCGTTTGAATTAAATTTATCAAAATGAATGGTCACTTTGCTAAACTGCCTAAAATCAGTGCCGCTTTTTATAATCAAACGACTGTTAACGTCTTTTATTTCGTAGACGTGATCGTGACCGCCTAATATTAAGTCGATTTCGTCGCAATTTTCAGCTAGTTTAATATCGTTTGGTGTTCTCATGTGTGTTAAGGCTATTACGTAATCACAACCCTTCAAAAGAAAATTCGGCGTTCTAAAATTATTTTAAATGTGTTATGACTTACTTCTTGTTTTAATTGTACAGCCAATTTAGTTCCGGCTTCAACAAAATCCAAAAACGTTACTTCTTCTGGATTTATCGTCGCCAAAGTGTCCAACCATTCTCTTTCAACCAACCCAACCAAACCTATTCTTTTCCCAGCCCAATGAACAACGTGAGTTATTCGTCCTTCGCCTAAAGGGCGCCCCGTTTCATTATCTAACACATTAGACATTAACCATGGAAATTGAGTTTGCGCGACCCATTGAGAGAGTACTTCTAAACCATGATCAAAATCGTGATTACCAAGAACCGCACAATGAGTACCGACATCGTTTAAAACTGGCACCATTTGTTCACCTTTTGTAAACGTACTAACTAAAGAAAAAAGACAATTTTCAAACCATCTAAAAATCAACTAAGTACTTACGCATGCTTGGCGAGAAAGCATCACCACTAAATAATACTAAAGGATTAAGATGTTGGAAGCTTTTGATTGCTGTACAAAATCTGGCTGCACCACCAACTGGTTCCCTGCCGGATGGCTCGACATTGTAAACGTCGTTAAAATGAAGAATCACCAAAGAGTTGTTCATCGCGTTTCCGGCTAATGTATTAACCGCTCTTCTTCCGGCAGCGCGAACTTCGAGTGATGCCTGCGATAAAAACGCACAAAAACTTATCGGATTTAAACTTACTCTATTAAAACAAAGACACAAAATTATTGGACACCAAATAAAGAAGAAACGGTGCGAATAAAACTATTGACTCGTGCGTGAAACTATCAATGCTAAAATAGAAACGAGACGACCGTCGAATTTGACTATATTATATATTTCCTTATTAAAACAAAACCGGAGGGGTCGTTCTAATTATTTCGAGTAAATAGATGTTTAATGAAACATTAAACTAATCAGTATGGTGTAGAACTTGTTTTTATTTGTAACTTTGCCAATGTGCCGTGACTAAAAATAAACTGACCATGACAACAATTTTCTATCTATACATAATTGCACGTGGTAAATAAAGAAAAATAATGAAATAAAGGAGCGTCTCATGCAAATTATTTGAAAGAAAATAAAAGAAAACGGAAGCTATGTGCGTTTACAATAAAGCTCATTATACTCTGTGCTTGACAATAAAATAACATCGACCAATTCATTGATGATTTTTTTTAGAACCTGTTTCAACCATCCGACCACGCTCGTTACTTTACTGGAAACCTCCGTAGGCATCTCAATGCCTTCCTCCACCAAAGAAGTCCATCTTGCCCGTAAAGCGGCCTGCGCGGCGAAACTCGCCATCTCTTATCAATTGCGTCGCAATAAGCAACGGATAAATACCTGCGACGAGGGCCCCCTTGGCACTGTCGGGAAAAAACGACACACAAACGGTTCCGTTAGATCGGAACGAATGCGAATTGCCAAAGCGTTTACGAGGAAGTTTCGAAACATAACGGGACGTACCCAAGGATATTGGCGAGCGGATTTTTTCTAAGGTTAACGTTGGTGGGCAAAGGTTACGAACGTATGCTCTTCGGGCCCCATCGGTCTCCGTTTGATTGATAGATCCCCCTAAATGTTAAGGTCTTCCGAACCTTAACCAACTAGCGGTTTGGGTACAGCCAGGTTTACAACAATGCGCGTGGCGCCATCCGACGCCCGCATTGCGGAATTATTGTATTGATAATGATTAAATTTCTACAATGCGCGCGCTGTTTTACAAAACATTTTATTATTTTGCAACTAATAAGTATTTTATAAATTAATTCTTTCAAAATTTTCATTTCGATTACCAAATTTTTCTTATTTTGTATATATTTATGTTAGAAATATTTTAAAATTATAATAGATAGCAAAAGTATCGAAATCAAGGAGAAATTGAACTTTCCACATGGAAATATTTTTAATTTAATTTGTTACAATTACGCTATTGGTTTGATTAATTTTATAAGGTTATTTGCTTTAATGCGAGCGTATCTCAGAAAGTATACAGAGTGTCTCAGCGAGACCGGTCATTAGACGTTTCTGGGGTTCTGGCCAAACCGAATTTTAACCCCCATATTTTATTACTTAGTCGTCTTCAGCGTCTCATTTTACATCTTTTATATTCCATATGTCCTATGCCTAACATTAATAGTTTGAGAAATAATTAGGGTTTTTTGAAAAATGCTCACATATCATATCGATATTAACCTAGTGTGCCATGGAAAACAAATGTTTAATGGGTGGTATGAATAAAGGAGAGTAAAACCTTATACTCGCAAAATTTCGAGCATTTGCTACATATTTTATGAATAAAAATGTAAGAAAAGCTTTTACTCAACACTTTCCTCTGAGCATGAGCATCTACTTACTTTTAAGCATATGCTCCGATTGATATGAATAAAACGGAGGTTTTGCTTCACATTTTGAGCATATGCTCGATAAAATGTGTATCTAGTTCAGTACTAGATGCACCCTTTCAGTGGTCGGTAATAATGGCAGAGTTTATTAATTTACGGGCAGAAAAACATTACAAAGTACGAAGAGGAGCTGATAACCGAGATTTTAAATCACTTTACCGGTTTGAGGAAGAAAATTTGCATTACATTGCAAACACTTTTTATGGGCGAGAACAACGAAAGAAGAGGAGGTGCTCTTTCGTCGGACCTTAAAATTAAGATATTTTTACGGTATATGGCCAATCCTGGTTTCCAAACTGGTGTTGCTGAAGAATTGAGAATTCATCAGTCGACAGTATCAAAAACAATTACGTTCGTGATTAACAAAATACTCGAAAAAGCTCCTTTATGAATCAAATTTCCGTCAACGTTGAACCAAGTAAACGAAGCACAGGAGAGGTGGCAGGAGACATTTCAATTTCCATGTGCGATAGGCGTAATTGATTGCACACACGTTCAAATATTGAAACCTATCCATCACGGTGATGAATACATCAACAGAAAGGGGTTGGCGACTTTAAATGTGCAAGCAACGTGCAACTCCAAAGAAATCTTTACTAGTGTTGATGCAAGTTGGCCGGGTTCTGTGCATGACGCTAGAATTTGGAGAAATTCTGAAACACGTTTGATTATGCAACAATTCCCTGGTGCAATATTATTAGGAGATGACGGTTATGGTTTGGAACCGTGGCTAATGACACCATTTCGGAACCCAAATAACGAATCTGAAAGAACTTACAACAGATTGTTTAAGAAAGAAAGGGTGATTATCGAAAGATGTTTCGGCCAACTTAAGCGAAGATTTCCAATTCTAAAATATATGTGCCGTGTTAAATTGGAAAGAGTCCCTTCCGTTATTGTTTGTTGCATTGTACTACACAACATTGCCAAATATTTAGGAGATGCAGATTTTCCAGATGATGATGATGAAGAAAATCTCAATAACGGCGAAGAATATGAATTAGAAGAAGATCGTCTTCTTCAGCGTGCAAGAGAGCGAAGACTTGAAATAGCTGATGTTATCTTTACACAGAATTTGAGGTAGAAGTTTGTGTATTATAAGAGTTTGAAATAATTAAAATAAAAAACATATATATTGATATTTTTATTAAATACTTATGCTTTACAAATTTAAATATACAAAAAAATATTTTTATGCGCCGTACAACAATAACAAAAATAAAATGCTTCTGGTACAAATTATAACCCTTAAGAATGTAATGTTTTATTTATGTTAAATAAAGAGAAAATTCTTAGTATGAAATGTTTTTTTTAATTCCTACAATAACTCAGAAAAAAAACGTGTTATATGAAATAAAGATAAAATTCTTGTATGGCAAGTCTTTTTCCTACAATAGCCCTTAAGAAAAATCATTTTATAAAAATAACAAATATCCCTTAACAAAAAACATGTTTTGTAAATGTAATCTTTGCATGGAATCATATCATATTGTTAGTACCAAAGTATCTATCTAAACCAAATTTATTATTTCTTTAAAGCACTGCGTACCTAGGTACATCATTATCGTTTTCGTTTCCATCAGGCTCATAATAAGAGCGACCGGTATTGGATTTTTGCATCATTTCTCGATAATACTGCCTTTGAACACGAGTGGTCTCCAATTGTTCGATAAGTACCAATCGTTGCAATTCCTGAGTAGTGAGTTTGGAAGTTTCTTCTGTTTCATATGTTTCTAAATTCTTCTTCGTTTGATGTTTTGTAGGTCGAGGTGGCACAAGGGTGTAAATATGTCTCTAAAAATTCATTTTTTTCACTCACACTTAAATTTCTTCCCGGAGAATC